TTTTTTTTTTTTTTTTAAGTTGGAGTCTCACTCTGCTGCCCAGGCTGAAGTGCAGTAGCATGCTCACGGCCATTGCAGCCTCGACCTACTGGGCTTACGTGATCCTTCCATTCCAGCCTTCCAAGTAGCTGGAACTATAGGCACATGCTACCACACCTGGCTAGTTTTTTTTTTTTTTTAATTTACTGTAGAGATGAGGTTTTACCAAGTTGCTCAGGCTTGTCTCGAACCCATGAGTTCAAGCAATCCTCTCAACTCGGCCTCCCAAAATGCTGGGATTACAGGCATGAGCCACTGTGCCAGGCCATTCTAAGTATTTTCTAATTCCTTGTATGGTACCTTCTTTGATCCATGAGTTATTTAGAAGTGTGTTAAAGTTTCCAAACAGGCCGGGTGCAGTGGTTCACACCTATAATCCCAGCACTTTGGGAGGCTGAGGTGAGAGGATTATCTGAGCCCATGGGTTTGAGACCAGCCTAGGCAACTCGGTGAGACCTCATCTCTACAATAAATCAATTAGCCAGGCATGGTGGTATGCACCTACAGTTCCAGCTACTTGGAAGGCTGAGGCAGAAGGAACACCTGAGCCCAGCAGGTCGACGTTGCAGTAGCCGTGAGTGTGCCACTGCACTCCAGCCTGGGCAACAGAGGGAGATTCTGACTCAAAAAAAAAAAGGAAAGAAAACTTAATTAAATCTATAACAAAGACAGTGAACTAGTAGTCAACTCAGAAGATTGGTACTAGAAGTGAGGAACAGAAAAACCAAAGGAATTACATTCTTTGTTCAGCATTAAGTAGTCTTGGTAAGTTTTTTTTTTTGTCCCCAAACCAACCAACCAACCAGAAACAGATCATAAAGCTATAAGCAGTCCAAACTGAAACTAAGAAAAGAAAGCTACAACATGTTTTTTGGTAGAAATGATTTGATATACAAATTTATTTATTTGATCACATTTAAAAAGACAAAGCAGAATCACATTAATTTTCTTCATAATGTTGCTGTAAACATACTGAATTTCGGAGTTCTTAATTTGCTTTGGAAACTTCTGAAGAGCTGACCATGAGCAGCCTGGTGGGCCATCTCCTTCCCCTCCAAGCTCTCTGGCCCTTTGGGGAAGAGTGTTGGTGACAACTGATGCTAAGTAAATAGCATGTGGTTGAGTTTGCCAAATCCTTTCCACTTCCTCTCATAAGCAACAGGGTGACTTGGCTTATTCTTGATCTAAAGTCACGGAGTAAGCAAGAAGGTTATCACACACAGAGACGAGAGGGAAGGCTCTATTATAGGCAATGCCCCAATATAAGAATGGATGAACTCAGTGTTTAAGTGTTCAGTCCCTGCTTTTGCTGACTTAGAGATATACTAGCAATGGATCTCAGATGTTTGGCCTACTAAGAAGTCAGTGCTGTACTCAGTTCCTTTGATTAAAATGTGTTGGAAAAGCCATCTCCAGGTGGGGAAAAGAATTAGTTTATTATAGTGATTGTACCATAAGAGGAAAATTGAAGCAGCCAAAAGCAGGTAGTGTCCCTTTCTTCTTGAACTCAAACGATCACTTCACTTCTGTCAGTTTTATAGTCCAAGCAAACTCTTCTGGGACAGCGGAGGGTGGCAACTGGGGCAGAGAGACGAGGAGCCCTTTATCAGGACCTGGAGACCACTTCAGATCTTCTTGGATTCCCAGCAGTGTTACCTGCAGAAAGCAAAGGGAATGGAAAAAGCCAGTAACGCATGAATGAGTACAGAGTAGCCTGCACATGGTGGAAACATACATGCTAGGCTAGGACAGGAAAGGTCATCTAAAGAGGGTATAAATAGACCGGGCTCAGTGGCTCAGCCTATAATCCTAGCATTTTGGGAGGCCGAGGCCAGTAGATTGTCTGAGCCCGTGGGTTCAAGACCAGCCTGAGCAATTTGGTGAGACCCCATCTCCACAATAAAACAAAAATTAGCCAGGCGTAGTAGTACATGCCTGTAATTCTGGCTACTTGGAAGGCAGAGGTGGAAGGATCGCCGGAGCCCAGCAGATCAACACTGGGGTGGCCATGAGTGTGCCACTGCACTCTAGCCTGGACGACAGAGATTTCAACTCAAAAAACAAAAACAAGAGGGTATAAATATGGGAGGCCTGTGGAGAAAGGAAGACTTAGAGAAAGCCTGTCACCTCTTTTAGAAAAAGTTACATATGAGCACTGACCTTTGTAGTCGAAGTAGTTATGGGAGACTCGAGGTTTAAAACTCCATTTTCTGGCCAGTGCAGAAAAATGGCATAAACAGCTGATCCTTTTGAGGTATACCTGGAAAAAAAGAAACATCATTGTCAAAGATACCTGGCTTGTTGCTCTGATATGTAACTTTATGCACTCCCCTTTCAATTATCTACCAAGTCCAAGACCTTGAGTCTGTCACTGCTATTCGGAAGCACTAACAACTCAATACCAGTTAAGGTCTGCAGGAAGGAAGTAGTCTATAAAACTCTTTCTGGTAGATATCTTCTATTTTCCTTCCCTAATGGGTACATATTCTTTAAAAATTAACTCTTATGTTAGTTATTTCAACTGACAACATTTACTTTATTATTTTAATATTTTTCCAACTCTAAATTCATGTGAACATAGCAGAGAATATAGCAAGGTCAAGATATGCAATGAAGACACATTTATTGCTCTGAGATTTCACATGTTTAGAGAAGAGGACGAAAAACACTGCTATAATCTGAATGTGTCCTCTAAATTTCATGTGTTGGAAACTTAATCCTCAAATTTATATGTTGATGGTACAGTACTTGGAGGTAGGGCCTTTGGGAGGTAATTAGGATTAGATAATATCATCACGGTGGGGCCACAAGATGGGACTGGTAGCTTTACAAGAAGGGGACGGGAGACCAAAGCAGACATGCACACTCTTGTCCTTTTGCCATGTGACGCCCCCTGCCGTGTCACGATGCAGCAGGAAGGCCCTCGCCAGATATCAATGCCACGTTCTTGGACTTTCCAGCCTCTGGATCTGTGAGCTACATAAACCTGTATCCTTTATAAATTACTCAGTCTGTTATAGCAACAGAAAATAAACTAAGGTAATCGCTAAACAGAAACTCATCCAAAACAAAAGGGTTACTGTGTTTCCCCTGATCCAAAGACATAAACTCTTTGGTAAAACACCAGCAGTTACCTTTTACTGAGTATTCAGTTTGTGACTGACACTCTGCTGAGTGCTTTACATACATTACCTCATCTAATCCTCACAATTTAAGCATCATTACCTCATTTTGCAGTTGAAAAAAATCTAATAACTAGATCCTTAAGTCCAAGGATGAATGGAAAGAATTTGGAATGGGGCCCTGCACACTGCAGGTGCAATACAAGCATTCAACATTACTATTTTTAGGAGGCAGGGTAACTATCTCAACAAAATTGACTGAAGCTCAGTAGCTCCTTTCCTTTTCACCAAGCCCACTGCTTCCCTCACTAGTCAGAGCTATTCTGGCAGCCTAAGACATAAGTCAACTGGGACGAAAGTTTTTTTTTTTAGTTGGAGTCTTACTCTGTTACCCAGGCTGGAGTGCAGTGGCACGCTCACGGCTATGACAGCCTTGATCTGTTGGGTTCAGGTACTCTTTCTGCCTCAGTCTTCCAAGTAGCTGGAAGTGCAGGCATGCACCACCACGCCTAGCTGATTTTTTTATTTATTGTAGAGATGAGGTCTTGCCATGTTGCCTGGGTTGGTCTCGAGCCTGTGGGCTCAGCCAATCCTCTCATCTCCATCTCCCAAAGTGCTAGGATTATAGACATGAGCCACTGTGCCCAGCTGGAGCACAAGTTTTGTAGGAAAATAAGTTTTGGGTTTCCTCAACACAACTTCCAGCCTGGCTTGTAACACTGTGGACCCAAGGAAATGCTGGTTCAGGATGGGTTACCATCCTGTTTCTGCATGCAATTGAAGACAAGACTTGGCCGAGCACAGTGGCTCACACCTGTAATCCCAGCACTCTGGGAGACAGACAGAAGGACTGCTTGAGCTCAGAAGTTTGAGACCAACCTGGGCAGCATAATAAGACCTCATCTAAAAAAAAAAAAAAAGTTGGCCGGGTGTGGTGACATGTGCCTGTAGTCACAGTTACTTGGGAGGCTGAGGTGGGACGATCACTTGAGCTTAAGAGTTTGAGGCTGCAGCGAACCATGATTGTGCCCCACTGCACTCCAGCCTGGGCAACAGAGTGAGACCCCAAATCAAAAAAAAAAAAAAAAAAAGAAGACAAGACTCACCATACAGATGTTGCATTCTTTTCCAGTTGCACCCGCCATGGTTTGGAGGCATAAATGGCCTCCCCATTGATGCTCAGCCACTTCCCAACTGCAAGAAGCCTTTCTTGGAAGATGGGAACGATCAGTCCATCTTTAGTTGGTCCAATGTTCAGAAGATAGTTGCCTCCCAAACTTACTGTCTGAACCAGTTCCTGGAGGCAGAGCAGAAACAATGCAAGTCTGGCTATGAATGCCAAGCATGGCATCATGCGTAGAACACACAGACAAGGAGAAGAATCTAGAATACATTCCATCTGCTTTGTGAATATCCCTTGCCATTAAAAAAATTCTATCTTTATTTTTTTTTTGACATTATAAAAGAGGTCAGGCTCATATGAGAAAACGGAAAAATCCTGCTAGCAGATGGAGAAAAATGTTCACTTGAATTCCAAGGAACGGTGATGGGGCCCTTCCTGGTGTGTGAGTGCCCCGTGAGACAGTGCTTCCCATGGTGCTGGATGCAGTGGGAAGGGTCAGGTCACAGGAACATGAGTTATGAGCAGGGAAGCGGAGAAAAGAAGTAATTGGCTATGACAGGATCACATGGAATGACACAGAGAATACGGGGATCAGAGGGAGAGATCTTGAGTGGCTGCTGTGGAGACTTTGGGAGTTGGAAGAGGTATGAAGAATTTCAGGACACTCTTACACAGTGGGCTATATAAATGTGTATGCTGCCCATTTGGGAAAACTGCTGTAAACAAATATATTCTTTAGGCCAGGTGTGGTGGCTCATGCCTGTAATCCCAGCACTTTGGGATGCTGAGGCAGGAGACTGCTTGAGGCTAGGTGCTTGAGATCAGCCTGGGCAACATAGAGAGACGCCATCTCTTCTAAAAAAATAAAAAATTGGCTGGGTATAGTGGCTCAAGCCTGCAATCCCAGCACTTTGGGAAGCTGAGTGAGAGGCTTGCCTGGGATTCAAGACCAGCCTGGGCAACTTGGCAAGACCTCATCTCTACAATAAAGCAAAAATCTAGCTGGGTGAATTGGTGCACGCCTGTAGTTCCAGCTACTTGGAAGGCTGTGGTAGAAGGATCACCTAAGCCCAGCAGGTCGAGGCTGCAGTGGCTGTGAATATGTCACTGCACTCCAGCCTGGGCAACAGAGTGATACTCCAACTCAAAAAATAATAATAGGCCAGGCTTGGTGGCCCAGCCCAGCACTTGGGGAGGCTGAGGCGAGTGAACTGCCTGAGCCCACAGGTTCAAGACCCACCCAGCCAACTTGGTGAGACCTCGTCTCTACAATAAATCAAAAAATCAGCTGGGCATGGGAGTGCATGCCTGTAATTCCGGTTACTCAGAAGGCTGAGGCGGAAGGATGGCTGGAGCTCAGCAGGTCGAGGCTGCAGTGGCCAGGAGTGGCCACTGCGCACTCCAGTCTGGGCAACAGAGTGAGACTCCAACTCAAAAAATGAATAAATAAATAAATAAATAAAAATTAAAAATAAATAAATAAATAAATTCAAAAATTTAGCCAGTTGTGGTGGAATGAGCCTGCAGTCTCAGCTACTCAAGAGGCTGAGGTGGGAGGACCACTTGAACCCAGGAATTCGAGGCTGCAGTGAGCTATGATCATACCACTGCAATCCAGTCTGGGCAACAGAGCAAGACCCTGTCTCTAAAAAATAAGTAAATAAATAAGAGAAAGAAGAAAAAGAAAAATCTAACTCAGAGGTGTTCTTACCGAAATGATTTCAGATTCTTCTGCAATGTTAGACATTGTCATGTCACGACGATAGCCCCAGGATAGCTTGTCAATGCTGGTGCACATCTCCCACTTGTGTTCTGGCAAGCTCTGTGGCTTGAATTTATCTTCACAGTTATAGTATCCTCCATGGTGACAGGAACAGTTCTTACCCCATCGGTCATTTACTACCACCTCATCCTAATGGGGGAAAAGTACTTGGTCATTGGGAGCAAAATCACTCGGCTTCTTTATGCAATGCAGTTTGATAAACGTAAGGGTCTATTTGGAAGCAATGAGAGATTAATATAGAACAGTGGTTCTCAACTGGAGGCAATTTTGCCCTAGAGAAAAGGTTTGGTAGTCTAGACATTTTTCATTGTCATAGTGGGGTGGTGCTGCCGCCATCTAGTCGGTGGACGCCAGGGATGCTGTTACACATCGTACAACGCACAGGGTAGTGCCACCACAACAAAGAAATATCCAGCCCCAAATGTCAATGGTGCTGGGGCTGAGAAACCCTGCGTAGGGACATATGATGCCAGAGCTGGGAGAACCTGTTTTAAAGATCATTTAGTAAGCCACTTATTCTACTGGAGGAAAAATGGACAGGTCATGCCCCAGGCAGTTTTGAAAGCTGCTACCAGAAATCAGGTATCTGAGCCCAGCCCAGGATGTTTACCCTACATAACCTCAACTTGATTGAGGCAAAGACAAGGCAACAATCAAATATGCTTTTTCTTTCTTCAAGGTTTAGCTGAACTATGAGAAATTATTATATGGATTATCTTAATGTAAATGTTAAATATAGCAATATATCTTATAACAGGGTGGCCAACACAAGATAATAAATAAAAACACTTTCAAAATGGCAAAAGAAGATTAAGTAAAAGCTTAAAATTCCTCCTGCTTGTCTGTTTTAGAGTAACTCATATCACTATGGAAATTTCTCCTGTGGAAGCTAGCTAAGTACCAAAGCGAAATAGAAAAACACTCATTATTTGTGGGTAGTTTGATTCAATGTTCAGTACTCAACGATTAATATCTAAGTATCACAGGGTCACAGACCTGAAAGGGACAACTCCATATCAACCTAAGCTCATCATGGGCTTTTAGGTTTACAGATGGCTCCACCACCTACTAGTCAGGGCTCTTAGGTAGGTCACTTTACCTGTTAAGTTTAGCTACCTTATCTGTAAAAGTAAACAAACAAAAATAAACAACCACCAAACAACCAAACCAAAAATACTAAAGGAAAATGTCACCCACCCACAGGGATTTGGGCAGGATAAAAACGACAGTGTCCCCTTTACTGCACTCCTCATTGTCAGACCTTCAGGTGACTTCAAGTATCCTACACTTTTGGTCAATGTCTGTGGGTTGTGGAAACCTTAGGACATACTTCTAGTGTCACACTGGTCACCCTATAGTAATGAATTTGTATGTCTGTCTTTCTCTTCAGAATGTAGTTCCCTGAGAGCAGAAGTTATCAGTTCTGTATCTCCAGGGCTTAGCTATGGCATGACACAGAGCTGGCTCACAACAAATCCTTGTAGGAACAAAGGAGAACCTACAATCCCTGTATGTCTGCAAAGCTATTGTGTAAATGGATAGAGACAGCCACATAAAAGGTCCTGGCTGCTGTGGAGAGGCCAAAAAGACTCAGGCTCCCTAGTTAGTTGTGTTAATTTTTTTGAGTCAGGGTCTCACTTGTCACCCAGGCTGGAGTGTGGTGGCATGATCATGGCTTACCACAGCCATGACCTCCTGAGCTCCGGTAATCCTCCCACCTCAGCCTCTCAAGGAACTGAGACTATAGGTGTATGCCACCACATCTGGCTTATTTTTAAACTTTTTGTAGAGACAAGGTCTTGCTATGTTGCCTACGCTGGTCTCAAACTCCTGGGTTCAAGTAATCCTCCTGCCATGGCTTCCCAAAGTGCTGGGATTACAGGCATGAGCCACCATGCCCAGCCCAGTTGTGCTTTTTACATGGCATTGAGATTAATATTTTCTTCCCTTTCTAACCCTGCATCTTTGTCTAATTGCCTAATTTTGTGTTCCTTTTTGTAATGCTCCTTAATCACAAAAACTGACTGTAGCCTCATACAGCAAATGACCTGGCTCTATGGGTATACACTCTGAACAGGAATGTAGAAACCACTTCAGAGAAAAAACGGGGGATAATAATCCCAATTCTTGGTTCAGCACCTACCCGTTTACTCAATAACCATTTTCTCGGCAACTACTATGAAGTGCATGCTGTGGTAGGTACCAGGTATCCAAGATAAATAAAACACAGCTCTTGCCCTCAACGATACATCAAAGACTAACAGACGAGGCAGATATGTGAGCAATTAAAATATGACATCACAGCAGAGTTTATTACCTATGGAGATGTGCATCTTAAGAGTCTCCACCCATTCAGCAAGTTCCTGAAGACCACTCTTCATCTGTCTCTATTCATCACCAGGATCTTTTTCCTTTTCTCTTTTACTTTTTTTTTTGAGTTGGAGTCTCACTCTGTCACCTAGGCTGTAGTCAGTGGCACCCTCACGGTCACCCCAGTGTTGACCTGCTGGGCTCTGGTGATCCTTTCACCTCAGTCTTCCAAGTAGCCGGAACTACAGGCATGTGCTACCACACCCGACTAATTTTTTATTTATTGTAGAGATGAGGTCTCGCCAAGTTGTCCAGGCTGGTCTCAAACCCGCAGGCTCAGGCAATCCTCTTGCCTTGGCCTCTCAAAGTGGTGGGATTACAGACTGAGCCACTGAGCCCAGCCTTCTTTAGACTTTTTTAAGTTGGAGCCTCACTCTGTCAGCCAGGCTGGAGTGCAGTGGCATAAGTACAGTTCATTGCAGCCTCAATCTCCAGGGGGTTGTGAGATCCTTCCGCCTCAGCCTCCAGAGTAGCTAGAACTACAGGTGCATACCACCATGTCTAGTTAATTTTTTTGATTCTTTGTAGACACAAGGTCTCCCTTATGCTGCCCAGGCTGGTCTCGAACTCCTGGGTTCAAGCAATCCTCTCACCTTGGTCTCCCAAAGTGCTAGGATTACAGATGTGAGCCACTGTGCCCGGCCTCTTTCCTTTTTTCTTTCTTCTCATTTTTGGGGTTTAGTAATAGCTACCCAATAAGATCCTTAGAGGTTTGTGAACTACCAGTTCAAACTGGTTTATATTTAAGATTTTTCTTTTAAATCCACAATAAACTAGAGCATGTAAAATTTTTAAAGTTTTCTATTGTAAAGATTAAGACTTATGCTACTTTGTAAGTGTACCAAAATACAAACTGCAAATTGGCAGCCATTATGCACTGGCTTATAGTGTTGATTTGGAGAGGGAATGGGGTAGGCAAGGTGCCCCCAGGAACGTGGATAGAAAGTGACTTGCCCCTTGAGAGTTAAACTATATAATTAGTGTACAGTAGGGCGAGATCACTGATACTTACCTTTTATTTCTATCATTTAATGTTTTGTACATCTTTTATGTTATATGTTTTATTTATATTTTATATCTTTTGGGTAGTTTTCTCATGTATAATGTTTGCCTAATACAGTTTATTTTATCTTCTCTATAGTGGTCTGTGAATTCCATATACTACTTCTATTCTATTACGTGAATTTAACACTATTTCAACCCATGTTGTCAAAATCAAGAATAGAAAGAGAAAAAGAAGCTTATACTCCATGGGGGACAGAGAAGGATTAAAGGGGAAACTTTGAGCATCCATTAAGTTTCCCAGTCCCCACCACCCTGGTATTGATATTACTGTTTATTACTGCTGCTGTTAGCACCCCAGATTTTAGCTCCATGTACTTTCTTTTATCATAACAGATAAATAAGTCATATAGTCACATACCTTGACAGGGCTATCATTATAGAGCCAAGCAAGAAAATCTGTGGAGTTCCAGTAAGTATCAGGACTTTCCCAGTCCCCATCAGACCAGATCAGATCAGGCTTATATCTGGAAGAAATGTGATGATGACAGAGTTTATATATGAATGCATTTGTAGTAAAGTCTCATGGGCTGACTTTTTTAAGAGATAGGGTCTTGGCCAGGCTCAGTGGCTCAGCCTATAATCCCAGCACTTTGGGAGGCTGAGGCGAGTGGATTGCCTGAGCCCATGGGTTTGAGACCAGCCTGGGCAACTTGGCAAGATCTTGTCTTGACAATAAAATAAAAAATCAACTGGGCATGATAGCACACACCTGTAGTTCTGGCTACTTGGAAGACTGAGGCAGAAGGATTGCCAGACTTCAGCAGGTCAACGCTGGGGTGGCCGTGAGTGTGCCACTGCACTCCAGCCTGGGTGACAGAGTGAGACTCCAACTCAAAAAAAAAAAAAAAAAATACAGACAGAGTGAGACTCCAACTCAAAAGAAAAAAAAGATACAGAGCCACAAAGGTAGCATTATTCCAAGTGTAATCAAAAAAAAAAGAGAGATGGGGTCTTCCTATGTTGCCCAGGTTAGAGTGCACAGTGGCTATGCACAGGTGCAATCATAGCACACACTGTAGTTTCAAACCCCTATATTCAAGTGAGCCTTCTGCTTCAGCCGCCTGAGCAGCTAGAACCACAAGCATGTACCACCGTGCTTGACTTGTGGACCAATTTTTGCAACAATATTTAAAAATTAATTTTCCTCCATTTTGAAATTGGGAACCATAAAAATTATCACAAGGCAGAGTATGTGGAAAACTAAAAAGACAACAAAAATACATCACTTTTAAAATATAACCATTATTTAAAAAAAAAAAAAACAAAACCACAGCATTTTGGTATGCTTCTTTTTTGAGTTGAAGTCTTACTCTGGCGCCAGGCTGGAGTGCAGTGGCATAGTTAATGGCAGCTTTGACCTCAGCATCCCAAGTAACTGGGACTAGAGTGAGTGCCACCACACCTGGTTAAATTTTGATTTTTTACAGAGACGTGGTCTCACTATGTTGCCCAGACTGGTCTCAAACTCCTGGGCTCAAGCAATCTGCTTGCCTCAGCCTCCCAATGTGCTGGGATTATAAGCGTTAACCAACACACCCGGTCCCATTCTTTTTCTCTTTGCGCTTTTTGAAAACAGAGTTATAGCCAGGC